TATATATATATATATATATATATATATATATTAATTTAATTCACCCAATACGTGGCCTAAGGATTCTCTCAGGGGCCTTTTCCACAAATATTTCTGAAGAGATTATCCATAGTTTCACAACTCTTATCCCTTCAAATACAACTAAGATTATCCAAAATTTCATAATTCTACTGTTCTCTCACGTTTTACCTGTATCTTCCTATTCTCTCCCTTATCTCTTCCAATGAAACTAAATTTATCCATAATTTCATATCTCTATTCTTCGCTCACTCTTTACCTGTATCTTCCTATTCTTTCGCTTATCCTTTCCAATCTCCCTTGCCTGTCCAAATTTCTAGTTAATTATGATATAAGCATGAATCTGTTTCAACTGCAAATAAAGAATACGGATTTACAAATATTTTCGACTGCATCCTCTCTTTTACCTTTCTTTTGCTCTATCTCATCATAAACAATGTAGTACAAGTCATGCATTCCAATTTTTTGCACCTTTCCTGCTTTTCAGTATTTTGCTCATTGTCTCTACATATCCAAGGATTTCTTATCTGTCCATACCTTTCTTTTATTTACATCTCGTCTTTCTTCTTCTTCTTCTTCTTCTTCTTCTTCTTCTTATCTCTCTCTCTCTCTCTCTCTCTCTCTATATATATATATATATATATATATAAAGAAATATAGTCTTAAGATGTGCTATATTTATGGGATAAAGTGCTCAATATCGGAGAGCGTGTGTAAATATAAAAGTGAACATAGAAGTCAGCACGATTGTATCTACCATGAAACAGACTGTCGCCTCTAAGTGTTGACTTCTATGTTCACTTATATATATATATATATATATATGTGTGTGTGTGTGTGTGTGAGGAGGCACGGTGGAGTAATGGCTTGGATTGAGAAATCGAAGAGCCGAGTTCGAATGCCAGTCAAATCCATTACATTCACTTACGTGCTAATACCCTTGGGAAAGGTGTGAATCCTCTTCCTCTCCCTCCAGATATGGGTAAAATAGCAGGACAGACTGGGTTCTATAGCCTTGGATGGCAACTGGTCTAGGAGAAGGACAACTCTGAATTTATAGATAATTCCGGTTCAAAAGGCCAGAAATCAGGTAGTTCTCCTACTATGTACTGTGAACATTCAGAAGGTGGGTGATCATCTCTCTCCACAAGTCTATACAATTTCCTCTCCTTTGTAACCCTTAGTAAAGTTTGCCTTTTTGCTATATCTCCCAATTCCTGTGTGGTCCTGGGTATGACGATAAATTATATCGGCGTTCTAGATAAGACAATAAACTACGTCCGTCAGCAAAGCCTCTGATCAGCAGATTTTGAGGAGCGTGCAACCACCTCTTAATTGCTGGTGTTCCTAGGTCCACCCTGGCCCGGGGTGGTAGCACCTTTTAGGGTCCCAGCTATGGGCAAAGAGTTGATCTCGAAACTGGGGTAGAAACACTATGAAAATTAGGTTTTAATACCAGAAATACATCGTAAAAAAATATTATCAGCAATAGGTTTTTGAAGAAAAAGAACCCCCCCCCCAAAAAAAAAAAACAAAAAAACAGTGAGATATTTGAAGAAAAAATATTACCAGCAATACATTTTTGAAAAAAAATATTATCAGCAATAACAATTTCGTCGGCATTAAATAATGCATTGAGGTTGATATACCGTAAAACAACCCAAAACAAAGCAAAAATAAATTCCCGTTCTTTCCAACCATTTATGAAAGATAGGTTATTCGTTGCTTTCCTCTGTCCTTCAGTGGGTCCTGTGAGTTTTAACTTCTCCATGCCATCTTTCCTCATTACCTACTACAGAAATTTCAACTATCTCTTTCTGATTCTACATATAAGTGTCCTTTTTGTTTCCAGTTTCTCTAAAGCTTTGTCATTGTTCACATGTTCAGTCCATGTAATTCTCAGCATAGTTCTGTAGAAACAGATTTCTGTTTCTACTTCTGGGTATGACGATAAACTACGCCCGGTAGCAAGGCCACTGATTGGGAGATTGGAGTTTTTGAGGAATATGGAACCACCTCTTAATTGCTGTTTGTTGAAGGTCCACTTTTCGCAGGGGTGTTAATAACTGGTAGGGTTTCAGCTATGGGCATATAATGAACCTAAAAACAAAACACTGTAAATAAATTACTAACAATACCTATTTTTAGTAAAATTACCAACAATACCTATTTATAGTAAAATGATAAACAATAGCTGAAGGCATACAATTTATTTACATTTTATCTGTAGTTGAAGTCATACAATTGCGTTCAAAATATATTTAGTTGAAACCATAAAATTGTGTTCAAAATATTTAGATTTCGGCATTAAATAACCCATAGAGGTGTTGATATGCCGCTAGACAAAATCAACCAACCAACAATACATATTTATAGTAAAATGACCAACAATACATTTTATCTGTAGTTGAAGGCATACAATTAAGTTCAAAATATATTTAGTTGAAACCATAAAATTGTGTTCAAAATATTTAGATTTCGGCATTAAATAACCCATAGAGGTGTTGATATGCCGCTAGACAAAATCAACCAACCAACAATACATATTTATAGTAAAATGACCAACAATACATTTTATCTGTAGTTGAAGGCATACAATTGCGTTCAAAATATATTTAGTTGAAACCATAAAATTGTGTTCAAAATATTTAGATTTCGGCATTAAATAACCCATAGAGGTGTTAATATGCCGCTAGACAAAATCAACCAACCAACAATACATATTTATAGTAAAATGACCAACAATACATTTTATCTGTAGTTGAAGGCATACAATTGCTTTCAAAATATGATATGCCGCTAAACAAAATCAACCAAACCAAACCAAACCAAACCCATCCAAATATTTAGATTTCGGCATTAAATAACCCATAGAGGTGTTAATATGTCACTAAACAAAACCAAAGCAAACCAAACCAAATATTTAGATTCTGGCATTAAATAACCTGTAGATGTTGATATACCGCTAAACAAAATAATCAACCTGTTGCTTTAATTCTTCTTTTTTTAAAATCTTTGATGTGATTGTCCAGCATTCATCGCTGCTATTTATAGGAAAACTAATGTTACATAACATTTCCCTACTCTCTCTAATTCTAGGTAAAAATGTGTAATGGTTGTCCATGTAAAAAACAACAGAATAATAGTCTAGATAATACATGGGTTGTTTACTGTGATGTTATGATGAGCAAGCCCGTCTCAAAAAAACATTACATCAGTGCAGTTGAATTCTTATTTACCCTTCACTCCTTTAATCAGACTAAAGATTAATTAATATTTCACTGTAGTGTAATGATTTGCAAACTGATTTCAAAGACCATTATTAATGTAATGAATATCCTCCTCACTGAGTTCATTGTCATCATTTGATCAGTCTTTGAACAGGAGTAGTGGTTTATCCCTTGTTCCCTGTTTAGTATTGATTAGATGGTACTTTTAAAATCTCAACTTAAACTCTGAAATTTTATTTACTATTTTTCCTCAGTAGCAGTATGTAGTTTCGCCTATCATCCGGTTCACACTCCTCCCCGATCTTTTGCACAGGAGTAGATTTTTATCCATTGTTTCCTGTTTAGGATTAGGTTTCCGGTTTCTTCTAACGTCTTTTCTTTCTTTTTTTCACTCACAGTAGCCCCTTGCATCTTAGTGGCATTATTATCTTGTTTGGCGTGAATTGATTAAAAAAATAAACTGTTTTAGTGGAACTTACGCCTTATCAAAGGAGCACGATGAGATGGGAACGATTTACCACCGTGTACATGGCATGGTAAGTCCTTGTTATGAAATAGGAGAGTGGAGTTCCAATTCTACTCGGGTTCGTTATATTCCCACACAGTCACTGACCAGGCTCGACGTTGCTTAACCTCGGTGGTCGTACGAGCACCGGTCTTTCAACCTTATATGACCGTAAGCCCGGATTATTGGGGAGCTTTTCTGTCACTTGATCTCTAATGAAATCCACCAGATATTAATGGTGTGAAAATTCATATTATATTAACAATTAATACCGAGGAAGGTCCTGCGGTATTAAAAAAACTTGCCATCATTTAATCTCCAGTGAAAGCCACCAGATACAATGTGCAAATAATAATAATAATAATTCAAAAATATGCTCTTAAGTAGGCGCCCGAGGGGGTCATCAGTGATTTTTTTGACTTGGTTCATCAGGGAGTTTCGGATCTTTCAACATCATACACACCATCACCAAGTCGACTCAATCAAGGGAGATCAATCCCTGATTCCCCCTCTCGTTCAAACGCTAACAGCTACTCTGGCCTTTTTAAAGAATTAGACGAAGACAGACCACATATTCCGCACATCTGATTGGATGTTTGTATCAACCAATCCGCTGCGCGAAATATCTTTTAAATGGCCCGCGGTGGGGACTGGCTTCTTTTCTTATTTCGGTGGATTGCAGTTTCAATGGATAACCGAGGAGGTAATCTTAATGTTCCTAAGTTTAACCCTAATAATAATAATAATAATAATAATAATAATGATAATAATAATGATAAATAAATAAATGAATAAAATGAAAACGACGACGGCGATAGTGTAATAAAATTAGTAACGATAAAATTTAAAGATTAAACGGAGTTGCAAATATCAGAATTTGGTTAGAATATATTGGTCTTCGGTTTCCCTCGTGGCTTCATTTCACAGGATATGTCGAGTCTTTTCCAAGAGGTTCACAGTGAAAGAAACTAATTAAAACCAATGTTCGATCTATTATGACGACTGATTTGATTTGGCGAGGACGAGGAAAGAACGAAAGGGTTCGATTGACTTTGTTGTCCGGCAGGAAGCGGGCGAATTGTATAGTTATTTGACTAGATTGTTGCAGTTGCTATATTGGTATTGGAAATTGCTAGATTGGTGGAGTGTGGTTAGCTAGTTAGGAGGAGAAGAAAGAAGAGGGCAAAGGGTAGAGAGATGAGGAAATGAGAAAGAGTGAAAGGAAAAGAAGAAAAACAAGCAAAAGATTAGACGAATGAAGATAATGAAGAATTTCGAAAGAAAAGGTGAAATGGAAAAGCGATGAAGAAAGAACGAAAATGAGAAAGACGGGGAAGTGAAGAAGGAAGAAGAGAATGAATAAGACGAAAAAAGAAGGAAAAAGAAACAAAAGGAAAAAGAAGAAAAAAATAAAAAGAGAAGAAAAAGGAAAAGAAAATGAAAAAGAAGAACAATCCAAAAAATAAGAAAAGAGAGTAAAGAAGAAATCGAAAAAAAAAAAAGAATGATGCGAAAAGTAGAAAAGATAAAGAAAAAGAAAAAGAAGTGAATAAAGAAAGAAAAAAAAACGAAAAAAAGCAAAACAAGCAAAAGAAAAAACACAAAAAGAGCGACAAAAAGAAGAAAAAAATGAGGTAAGAGGCTAAAGAAAAAGAAAGAAAAAAGAAGAGATGAAGAAAAAGAAAAAAATAACAAACGAAAAAGAAGAAAAATAAAAGAAGGATAAGAAAAATCAAAATGGAAAACAAAAGAAAATGAAAATCAAGTGAAAAAGCAGACATGAAAAAAACAAAACAAAAAGAAAACGAGCGAATAAGTAGGAGAAAAATCAAAAGAAAAATAAAAGATGAATGAAAAAGTAGAAAGAACAAACAAACGAAGAAAAAAAAAACAAAAGAAAAAGTAGAATAAAAAGCGGAAGGAAAAGAAGAAAAAAAAACAAGGGAAAAGCAGAAAAAAAGGAAAAGAAAAAAAGAAAAAAGAAAAAGAAAAAGAAAAGAAAAAAGCAAAAGAAAAAGCAGAAAAAGGAAAAGAAAAAGCAGAGAAAAAGGAAAACAAAAAAGTAGAAAAAAGAAAAGAAAAGAAAAAGTAGAAAGAAGAAACAAACGAAGAAAACAAAAGAAAAACTAGAATAAAAAGCGGAAAGAAAAGAAAAAAACAAAGGAAAAGCAGAAAAAAGAAAAGAAAAAGCAGAAAAAAGAAAAAAAAAAAAGAAAAAGCAGAAAAATAAAAAGAAAAGAAAAAAGCAAAAGAAAAATCAAAAAAGAAAAGAAAAAAGCAGAAAAAGGAAAAGAAAAAGCAGAGAAAAAGAAAAAAGGAAAAGAAAAAACAAGAAAAAGCAGAAAAATAAAAAGAAAAGAAAAAAGCAGAAGAAAAAAGAAAACAAAGAAAAAACAAAAACAAAAGAAAAAGAAAAAAAGAAAAAAAGAGGAGGAGAAGCAGAAAAAAGAATAGAAGAAAAAACAAAAGAAAAAGTAGAAGAAAAAGAAAAAAAAAAGAAAAGAAAATTCAGGAAGAAGACAAAAAAAAAAAGAAGCAAATAATTTAAAAAAAGAAGAAGAAACTATACATTTTACAGATTAAATAGTTAGATATTTCCCACTGATGACAATGATCAATGTTTAACTTAAATCCAAAAACCGGGTTTCAAATGCCGATTTTCGAGACTAACAATATTTCTTCTTTGCAGAACAGACGAAGTATCAGTTTCTGACTCTCCTTTTATTTAGACTCTTCGTGTCCAGTTGAGCAAAGGATTATTTGATAAATCGAAAACACTGACCTTGTTTATATGATAGTTGTCCTTAGTGTCAGTGGTCAATACTCGAGCCAAGTAAAATCTAGTATTTTAAATACTGGTTTCAAAGTGACGTGGCCCTTAGTCGGAATGAAAAATGACGCAACACAGATTTACTTATCCATATTTAGTCTTGTGCCCTACTAAAATCCTAGTAAATAGCATCAGTAAAAAATATACTGTTGATGAATTTCTATGTGGGTTAAATATTACTCACAGACACCAGTAGAAGACTAACGCTACACAGTCTTCTTATTCTCATTCCAGGAAGATTTAAAGAAGAAACAGAACTGTAAAAAGCAAGAAAAAGAAAGCTGGGTAGAACTCTTCATAAAGAGAAAGAAAATTAGGTTTGGTTTGCTTTGCTTTGTTTTACGTCATATCAACTTCAATAGGTTATTTAATGCCGACAAGATTTTATTGCTGGTAATATTTTTTCCAAAAATGTATTGCTGGTAATATTTTTTTCTTCAAAAATGCATTGCTGGTAATATTTTTTCTTCAAAAGTGTATTGCTGGTAATATTTTTTCCTTCAAACATGTATTATTGGTAATACTTTTTTCTTCAAAAATGTATTGCTGGTAATAATGTAATGCTGGTAATAATTATTTACAAAAATATATTGCTGGTAATATTTTTCTTTCAAAAATATATTGCTGGTAATATTTTTCTTTCAAAAATGTATTGCTGATAATATTTCTTTCCTCAAAAATGTATTGCTGGTATTAAAACCTACTTTTACACATTCATAGTGTTTTGACTCCAGTTTCCGGGTTAACTATTTGCCCATAGCTGGGATCCTAACAGGTGCTACCACCCTGGGTCAGTGTGGACCTGGGAATATCAGCAATTAAGAGGTGGTTCCATGCTCCTCAAATCCTCCTGATCAGTGGCCTTGCTGTCGGATGTAATTTATCGTCTAACCCAGGAAATAACGAAAGAAAATCAAGTATCATCATCTCGAAAGTTCACCACTCACAGCACAAGTTGGTTTCAAGTTCCCTGGTTACCAACGCGTGGTGCACGCCCACTGCCAAGCATTTTTAAGGGATCAATTCGACAATGAGTTATTAAAAGTGATTTTTTTTCTAGTGTGTCTGTGTGAGTATGAGTTTGTTTGTGTGTGTGTGGGTTAATACATACAGCGCATATACAGTATGCATACATAAAACTATTTGTGTGTATGTATGTACATATGTAATTACGTATGTACTTTATATATGTACTAGTCGAATTACCCGCGCATTGCTGCGTGTCACACATTGTTTATAAGAAAATGATGATTGATTTTAAATCCTTATTATAATTTGTGGAGAAAAACGATGCATTTCACTATTACTCAATGATCTTGACGATGAGACCTCCATCTTCTGGCTTTCTCCTTCTATCTTTTGGATAGGATTCATTCCCTTGTTCAAATTTAAAGTTAATTTAAATCAATGGGAAAACATTCAGTGGGGGAAGGGTATGTGCCCGCGAGAATCCCTTTGATCAAAATGAAATATACATATCGAAGTACCCTAGGAGTCATTCCCTTGTTCAAATTTATATTTAATTTATATCAAAGTGAAAAATAATTTCAGTGTGTGTGTGTGGGGATGTCTTGTGCCCCACCCTCCAAGTACCCCTTTGATCAAAATGAAATATACTTATCCAAGTATCATGGACAATGTAGTTTCAGAATATATATGGTTATGGGGGTCTATCTCCAAAACCCAAGGAGCAGTTCGATAACAGACAGACTGAGGCTACAAATTTATATATATATATATATTAAAGTGAACATTGAAGTCAACACTCAGAGGTGACAGGCTGTTTCATGCTAGATGTAATCGTCAGTCTGACGATTGCGTCCAGCATGAAACAGTCTGTCTTCAATGTTCACTTTTATATTTATATTTACATACGCTAGGTCTCTGATATTGAGCACTTTATCCCATAAATATAGCACACCTTAAAACTATATATATATATATATATATATATATATATTAGTAATATAATATTTTTTATAAATATTGTCAAATTCTAAAATTAAATAATAGTATTATTGCATATATACACATAAATCTGTGGGAGTATACAAAGGTACCTCTAATAACAAAGGTACGCTGAAACGTAGTACCTCTAATAACAAAGGTACGCTGAAACGTAGTACCTCTAATAACAAAGGTACGCTGAAACGTAGTACCTCTAATAACAAAGGTACGCTGAAACGTAGTACCTCTAATAACAAAGGTACGCTGAAACGTAGTACCTCTAATAACAAAGGTACGCTGAAACGTAGTACCTCTAATAGTAAAGGTACGCTGTAACATAGTACTTCTAATAAGAGGAATTACATATCCATTTTGTAGCGAGAGAATACACTTGCCTCGCCGGGATAAGCGGACACGTACCTGCTTGGCATGTAAATTCAACATGGCCGACGCCGCGCGGGAGCGACGGTGTCACGCGTAGTCGCGAGGAATGGCCATTTGCAATCATCTCACTACGCATGCGTGACGATACTCATTTAATACTATCGATCATTTGCATGCGTGATTGGAAAATACTAATAAATAGTGGTTCGCACTTATCTTGTCGATAAGTACTGGAATGAGCACCCTCGGGAGGTAGTTTGGACTTGGACAAATAGTGGCGTCTCGACTGCTGGGGTGCCGTCCAGCTAACTCGACCGAGTCTTAGTTAGGAGAATCGATGTAGGCTCCTCGTCCAAGTCTCCATTATATAGTTTATTTGGATCATAGTCTCGTCCGGGGCTGTTTAAACTTAGATAAGCCTAAGGTTAAGATGGCTGGCTACTGGAAATTAAACTGCTCATTATTTGTTGAACAAGATTTCCGGGACCAGCTGATTCTAATGATACAGAGGGATTGACGAGGCCTGTTGTTAGGAATGCCTGGTGGGATAATTTAAAATCCAAAATTAGTTTGCTATTGATTATAGTCGTCGGCTCAGTCTAGATAGATTAGCGGCGCAAACGGCTTGTGAGCAAAAAGTAGATCGGGCAGTGAAATACCGTGATAGTGGGGAAATAGCGTTAGCTAAGGCAAAGTTGGCCTCCTGGCTTAGCAAGAAGGATCAAGCTCTCGTAGTTAGGGCTAGGTTAAAAAGAATATCCTCAGAGGCGACGAATACGACCGCTGAATTGCGCGCAGAGGAGTCTCGGAATGCGTCTCGGCGACATATCGCATGTGTCACATTGCCGGATAAGCGGACCGTGACTTCAAACGCGGGCATTTATGAGGCTTTTCGTGATTATTTTCAGGAATTTTTACTAGGGAGCCCGGTCTAAGCCCTTCTCAGTTCGACGCCTATTTAGCCGACTTTCCCTGCCTTGAGGCAGCTGAAGCAGCTGGGTGTGAGGGTTCGATTACAGAGTCGGAAATCTGGAAAGCGCTGAAACAGGTTGGCCTGGATAAATCTCTGGAGTTAGATGGTCTTCCTTGCGAAGTTTACTTGAGGCCCGTTTTTGTTCCTCTGCTGGAACTGGTTTTTACAACAACTGGATGAAGCAGGGGTCTATACCTGAACGTGGTGGGATCAAGTTACTGCGCAAGGACAAGAACTGTGGGGGATTGGTTAGATAACTTTCGCTCTTTAACCATGTTAAATACAGAGTTGAAGATTTTGGTAAAGATCTTAGTCAGCCGTTTGCAGGCTGTCCTGTCTACTCTGATTGGCTCCGAAAGGACTTGTGCTGTGAAGAGTAGGACTATTCAGAACAACCTTCATATGGTACGCCTGATCATCGAGAAAGTCAACAGTAAAGCCATGCTGATCAATTTAGATCAGTCCAAGGCCTTCGATAGGGTTGACCATCCATTCCTGGACGCTGTCCTTTCGGACTTCTGTGTGGCGCTAGTGGAGGTGAATGGGGGTACGATCGGAGCCTTTCGTATTGTCTCGCTCCATTCGTCAAGGTTGTCCGCTTTCGCATTTGCTTTACGTTCTTGCGTTAGAACCTTTCCTTTGCAAGTTAAAGACGAATCCGCTCCTACGCGGAATTTCCCTACCTGGTGCTACCACCTCGGCCAGGTATTCTGCCTATGCTGATGACGTTTCGGTTCTTGTGTCGAGCAGAGCCGAGATTGACGAAGTCATAAAAATCAGTGGTTATGAGATGGTGACAGGGGCCAAGATCAACCGCTATAAGTCTGTTGGCTTGCAGTTGGGTGCGTGGAAGGGAGTTTTTCTTCACGGACGTTTTTCACTGATGGCTGTTGCGCAGCCTACCAAAGACAAAGTGCGACGGGTAGTGGATTACAGGGAACTGAAACGACACACGGATAACTTTAGCGCGGACGCTGACGTGTGCGCCGTCAGATTGAGGGAGTTGTGCCAGCAGGGGATCAATGTAGCCCTGCTGGACTTGCGAAGGGCCTACCTGCAGATAAGAGTTCATGAGTCAGTGTGGTCGTTACAGAAAATGTTAAAGGAACGAGATATTGTCTGATACGCTTGGTGTTCGGACTCAGTGTGGCGCCCCTATTAATGAAAGCTATCGTCAAGGCGGTGTTGACTCAAAACAAGTCAACAATGAAAGCTACATCAGCCTACTTCAACGATATATATGTCAACGAGGACATAATGTCTGCAGATGCAGGGCTAGAGTCCTTCGGCTTGATCAGTAAGGATCCTAAGCGCCCGAGTAATAAGAATTATATATCATAGGAGTGGGTCATCAGGATTTTAGAGATGCTTATGTGGGGCATGGTTAAAAAAAGACTGAGAACCATTGCATAAGACTGTTGTCCTCATCGCAACTTTTCAGCTATTGTGGCCATTTTGATGACAATAAACAGAACACAATGTGAATCCAGGTGATAAAATAATTGCTGAATCTTCCTTTTTGACTGATTACCTTAGTAAGGTTTTCGATGTAGTGTAATAGTTAGCAAACTTGTCTCGCTAAAACTGTTACGACTGAATAGTGAGTTCGATTCATATTGGGTACCCTATACTCTCGGCCTTGTGCCACATCTAAGCAACGCTTAGAAAATCAATACCTTAGTAAGGTTACTATCTAAATTGAACAATTGCTTTTGGTAATAGAAAATAGATAGCAATTACTTTATCATATGTAAGTGGAGAATTTCTTTTTCGGAAAAGTGGGAAAAATACTTATTTTAAAAATGGGTATGCATAAAAGTTTAGTTTTTTATTTACTTTTTCTGTTTTTTCTTTTTTTAAAAGTTTTATATTAGTCATGAAATTTCAACAATGCTTAGTGTTGATCTTGACAATTGTTTTGAATAACTGTTTTGTCTAAATTTAGATAGTTATTAATTTACCTAGAAACTAAAAACGTATAAATATTTCTCTTTATATATATATATATATATATATATATATATATATATATATATATATATATATAAGTTTCTATGTATTTAAACAATTGTAGATATTCTATTATTGATTAATATTTTATAGCCATTGTATTTTCAGTTTTTTGCCACAAATGGGATTTTTCTCCCATTTCTTTCTTTCATTTTTTCCATGTTCCGGTATATGTTGCATTCTTTTTATATACCATGTTCCTTCAGAACCTGGACTATAATGGCACTCTATAACTTTCTGTCCTTTGTAGCTCTAAGCAATGTTTGATTTTTTTTTCTCTTTCATGGATGCCATGTTCTTTGGAAGTTTGTTTAGATCAAGTTAATGGCTTTTATGCTTCCTCCACACAAATAGAAGTTCACTTTTTGAATAATAAGAATTATATGTCAGGGTGGGTAGGTCATCAGGATTTTAGAGATGCTTATGTGGAGCATGGTTAAAAAAGACTGAGAACCATTGCATTAGACTGTTGTCCTCATCACAACTTTTCAGCCATTGTGGCCATTTTCATGACAAGGAACAGAACACAAAACTAATCCAGGTAATAAAATAATTGCTGAATCTTCCTTTTGACTGATTACCTTAGTAAGGTTAAATTGAATATTTCCTTTTGGTCATAGAAAATAGATAGCAATTACTTTATCAAATGTAAATGGAGAATTTCTTTTTCAGAAAAGTGGGGAAAAATACTTATTTTAAAAATGGGTATGCACAAATTTTTTTTTTTATTTACTTTATCTGTTTTTCTTTTTTCTTTTTTTTTACTTTTTATATTATTCCTAAAATTTCAACAATGCCTGGTGTTGGTCTTGACAATTATTGTTTTCAATAACTGTTTTGTCTAAATTGTTTAGAGAATTATTTTCTTTGCATTAATTTACCTAGAAACTAAAAATGCATAAATTATTTATTTTTAGTGTGTGTGTGTGTGTGTGTGTGTGTGTGTGAGAGAGAGAGAGAGAGAGAGAGAGAGAGAGAGAGAAAGAGAGTGAGTTAATAAATACAGTGTATATGACAAGGAACAGAACACAAAGCTAATCCAGGTAATAAAATAATTGCTGAATCTTCCTTTTGACTGATTACCTTAGCAAGGTTACTATCTAAATTGAATATTTCCTTTTGGTAAAATACCAATAAATAGATAGCAATTATCTTATCATCTAGAAGTGGAGAATTTCTTTTTTATTTTTCGCATTATTATGAGTCAATGTTTATTAAAATAAGCAAAATAAATTGATTTTTAAGGGTCGTGGGAATATCCAAAACTTCGTCCTTGATCACATTCTCAGTAGTCTTCTGTAGAACTACATTTCTGCTGATTCAAGTTTCTTCACCAGAAAGACGTGCACGACAAGTAAGACGTTTGCTTTTTCTTCTATAACGCGCACTCTAAAATAGGAACTTTTTATAAGGACTCTAAATTCCCCCTACTTACATGTTGCAAACTTCCAACACTTGAAAGCCTTTTCCCACACTGTGTAACGTTGTTTAATATTCCTGTTTTAATTTCTTGCGACAAAACTTAGATTGTTTTATTTCAACTCTGCCTCTTTTAATACCTACACTCGCGATTTGGTTTATCTATCGTTCCTCACTTGTCCTTGTAAATCAGGGTCGTTGGTTATTCAGTACACGTGTCTTTTATAAGTAGGTTTACGTACAGCTAAAAGATGAATGAGGTAAGGTAGAAATATTTTACGGCTTATCAACCTTTTGAACGTTATTTAAAGCCAAAAAGTATATTTAGATCGTAAGAATTTTTTAGGTCGCCTATCACCCGGTTCACACCCCTTCCCTATCTTTTGAATAGGTATAGAGGTTTATATCTTGTTTCAAGTTTAGGATTGGGTTTCCGGTTCCTAAAGGCTTCTCATTCTTTTTCATCCCCAGAACTCCATTACGTCTTAGTGGCATTATCGCCTTGCTTGGGATGAAATGATTAAAAAAAATAGATAATGATTTAAATGATACAAGTTATACTAATTAATCCATTACTATGGAGAAGAAGAGGCGGATTCATACCTTTTCCCAGGTGTATTTGTACGTAAGTGAATATAACAAACTCGATTGGAATTGG